CCACACCCACCAATGGTGCCATTGCCCACCTCTCAGCTGACCCACTCCCCCTCTCTCTCCTCCACAGCTCAGACCCTTGTTCAAGAACACCAGTGTGGGTCCCCTGTACTCTGGCTGCAGACTGACTTTGCTCAGGTGAGACTTAGGGTCACTGGTGCTCCCAGGCCCAAGCAGTGTGGGTGCTTCCTTCCTGCCCCCCTGTCCTTCCTGTACTCCACAGAGATGGTCTCAGGAGGCATCAGCTCCAGCACCAAGGCCTCCCTTAACCCTTCCACTTCCCTCTCCTGACCTCTCTCAAACTCTGTCCATCAGCATCACGGACCCTCGTCCCCTCCCCCCTTCTTCCTTTTACAAGAAGGGCATTTCCTCTAGATGATGGATTCCCTTACCAGGATGTATCTGTGACAAACACACTTTCTAAGTTTGCTGCAATCCACAACCCCAGTTCTCCACCTGTCCCACCGGGGAACCACCTGTCCCCAAGCCATGAGGTTGCACTTTCATTCTCCAACTTCAAGAACATTTTCCCTTCAGCAGACTCCTCTCCCAGGGTAGGCCGTCCAGATCAGTGCACAGATGACCAGGCTGGCTTCCCACCCTTCCAGGGTCTCCTCATTTTCTCTGTCACTTTTCTGCCCAACTCAGAGGTATCTCTGGACCTTTCTCTGAAAATGCACTCATCCCCCCTGCTCTCCCAGGTCTGAGAAGGATGGGTCAGCCACCAGGGTGGACGCTGTCTGCACCTACCATCCTGACCCCGTGGGGCCCAAGCTGGACAGAGAGGAGCTGTACTGGGAGCTGAGCCCACTGACCCACAACATCACCCAGCTGGGCCCCTACACCCTGGACCAGAACAGTCTCTATGTCAATGGTGAGCAGGGGCCACCTGTGCTGTGCTGTAGCATAGAGCCCACATCCTCCATTTCTGGGAGGGCTTCGTCCTTACCCACTCACACGTTCATATTCATTCTCCCTCACCCCTCTCTCCCCTTCTCCTGCTGCAGGTTACTCCCACCAGGCCACAGCAACTACTGCCACTGGTGAGTCCACAGTGACCCTGTCATGGTCCCTTGCCCTCCAGAGCACAAGCAGCAGACCCCTGCCCACATCTCCAGCTGTCAGGGAGGGTAGGATCCGGGTCACAGGCTGGAAAGCCAGTGGGATAGGGCTCAGC